ATAAATCATAAAAATACAATTATAATATACTTTTTCATTCCAAAATTTTTCCCAGTAATTTCTATTTACAACTTTTAGCCATATTTTGGTTTGCTGTCCAAAAATACTGTTGTGCTAATAAGCAGAGAGATATACGTTCTATTACTGTATGTACATAATTAAACATTATAGACCAAAAAAATCACCATCCTTTTGGATCAGTTTTCTTCTGTGACTTACTGCATCCTACTGGATTACTGTACATTGGTTCAGTTGCAGTTGTCTACTCTTTATCCACCCATAAGATTTGACTGACCATTGCATATAGAGGCTAAAACATTTGGAAGAAAATTCCAGACATTGTTAAATGTTTCAATATGCAGGTTAATAAAATGGCCTTTCTGCAGTCTAGGATGAATTTCATGCGCAGCTTAAGGCTGTGTAATTCTCATCTTCTGCAACAGTGCCCACACCACCGTGTTTGCATATCTATTTCCTTGTGGGCTTCCATCACAGAGCTCTGCTATCACAGGTTAAACAGCTCCCCAGTTATTGATGCTTGGGATGGGCTTTACATAAGCTTGCACATATTTGGTTTCTAAGTCAAATGGAATATATATAAGATCTCCCAGCTGTGTAAAACAGTCCTCATTTATACACAAAAGGGTGTGTTGTGATGTCATCCTTGAAGTTCAGGAGGTTGGTTGCAAGAGGATGGCAAAGTGTGTTTCACTTTGAGAGTGTCAGTGTTAGTATTTCCTCAGTAGTAACTGGGGAAGCCTCTACAAGAACTGCTGTAGATGGATGACCCACTATTAGCTGGATTTGAGCTGATGACCTTGACATAAAAGCCTTTATATCTGAAAATGAATCTCCAGGTTTAACTGGCTCTTGACATGTCTGCTCTTTATTGCCTGTTCTTTTACACTGCTGAGAAAATGCTAGGGTCATTCACAAGTCATTAAGTCCTGGGCTGGTGATACAGCTCCTACACATTTTAGCAGAGCTCTTACCTCTTTCAGTAGTTGCAGACTTTGTCACACAGTCTGCACAACCACAAGTGGCAGCAGGACAACTCCATGAGCCCAGTTACTGCCGGAGCAGAAACCAATCCTGCGGGACCAGGTGTGGGGTGGCAACCTTCCCCTTCAAATGCCAGTTCCTGCCTTACTTTGCAGTTATGACTATTGCTTTCATACTCACTCATGGCTAGATGAGCTCTTGTACATTTATACGTGGATTTTGTAGCTTTCTAGGATTTCTGCTATGGTAATGTCAACTTGCCATCTTTATTGAATACAGCAAATTGCCTTTGTATCTCTGTTAGTTCAGTGGCTCAGAAAAAGCCTTCATCCCCTCCATACCTACACCAGTGGTATAAACAATTAAATTTCCTTGGATTTGTCAGACTATTTGGGGAAAGAAACTTTCAAGGTAAGGCTCAACTGATTAAAGATTAAGTACAATTTCATAGCTATTTCTTGAGATGAAGTAAACAGAAAGACAAAGAGCTCTTGAGATAAATCAGGTGGGATGTGACAATCTGAAAGGAAAAATTCAGTTGTGTCCTGTGGTTCAACATATAAAGCACATCATTTGATGGTCCTGATTTCCCAAAGAGCCTTCTGTTAGGTCTGACTCTGGATTTGTTTACCTCTGTTAAGGACATCAAGCCTTTTCTGTGTCCCAAGGAAGAAACATGGAGGAATCCCATTATTTATCACATTTTCCCATGTGCTTTCCTCTATAAACTAACAGCTACAGCCAGGCTGATAAATGAAATGATAGAGGGGCTATTTTCTGGCCTGAGGCCAACAGGCATGGCACAGATATATCCCCCCAGCTGGATTCTCTGACACCCCCAGAACAGGATGACTGCACAAAAATTGTCTGTTAGGGCTCAGCCAACCCCTGAGCTGTATGCAGGCACTGGGGGAAGCCTGTGCTGGTGTTGTGACACAGAGCTCACTAAATGTCAAAAAGTAAAGACAATTGCATGCTATTGCTTCAGCCTGTGCTCTCAGCCTTTAATTTCCCCAAAAAGATGTGGCTAATTTGGATGATTATTCCAATTTCATCCCAAATACTTCCTTTTCATTTTAAGACGTTACATAATAAAAATTGTAATGATTCAGTCTTAGTTTAAGGATTAAATACATTAAAACATTTTTTTCACCAGAATTTGTCTTGCTTCCTTGTATTTTATGAAAAAAACATGCAATTGTTCCCCCAAGAAAAGCTTGAACCTGTTACCAGCCAGTCTGCAGAAATAATGAATTCCTAACATAGTATGACAGTTATCTTTGCCAATTAGTCCACCTGAGCGAGTTCAGCTAACAGGTGCATTTAAGCTCTGTGAGGCTGCCTTCATCACTCTCTCAGGAAAGAGGACAGCTATGTTGGTTTCTGAATTAGACATTGGAAAAAAAACCCAAAATACTTGGCTCTGTTGCCTAGCTGTCTCTGTGATTGAAAGCCAGTCCTGCAGAGGCCGGTGCAAAAAGAGTGCCTGTGACTGGGAGTTGTGTGTCTGCCTGAACAAAGAAATGGAAAGCAGTGAAAGAATCACTAATCAGCCCTTATGAATGTTTCTGATTTTAAATTACCTCTTGAGGAAAAAAAAAACCAAAACTTTCCATAGATTAAAATTAAACTAAATAATAAGTAAATATAACTTCAAATGTTAAGGAATTTGTAGCATTTCTGTTGATTTTGCATAGAGAGAGAGTTAATATAGATGTGGTAAGGAAATATCAATCCTACCTGCACATGGATTTGAGCAGACACACACATTTTAAGAGTAACTAGCTAGGCAGTGGTTTGTATGATATAGCATGTAGAATATGTCACTTAGGTTTTCTCCAGTATGCCAGGCAGAATATAAATACAGAATGTAATACATCTCCATTGGTATTTACAGCTGTAAAACATGACTAAAGGGGAAGTAAAAAAATACCCTGTGGTTTTAATGTTATTTTCTACATGCCTACCCATCTTTGAACTTAAATATTAATAAAGCCATTTTACACGAGTAAATTATTAAAGCCTTCAGACCTAGTCAGAACAAAGAAATGTCAGAGATAGATTTTGATTTGAAGCTTTGTCAGTTTTGAATGTAACGCTCAGGTTTTGTTCTGTGTCATTAGTCAATTTTCTCAGAGCTTCTCTGTCAGAAAATTCAGCAGTGTTACTTATCTCCTGCAAAACAGATTTTGGTACCATTCCTTGGCTGAGGCTTGTTTGAAAGAGAAATTAGTTTCCAGAAATGGGAGCCATGCAATCCCAGGATCCAGTTAGTCTGCAGCAGCTCCCCATCAGACTCTGCCTGATTCCATAGCAGCAAGCCAAGCACAACCAGGGGACAGTGTGAGCACACTGTCTGATCATGCTAATGAACTATTATCATCACCTCTAGTATGTTTTTGGCTGTGTTTAAAAGAGAAACATTCCAACCAATGGGTGGTCCTGATTTAGCAGTTTGCAGGGGTGAGGAGTGATTCCCAGTGCCAGTCTGTGTGTGGCCCCCTCATTTGGGTGGGAACAAATTCACGTCTACCCTCTCACCCTCAGGGCTTAAAAATGGAGGCTTGTTTTTTTTATTTCCTTGTGTGCATACACCTTCTGACATCATGTCTACCTTCCTTCACTTTTAGAGAAAAAAAGGATTTCATAGAAGCACCTAAAGGCATCAGGCATAGTTGCAGCAGACAGTCAAGCAGCGTAGTGACTCCACTGTAAAGCTGATATTCCAAATTTCTGCAAAAGAACTGTTAGGTGAAGACAAGCCCTCATGAGGCAAAAGTCAGGAACAATTTTCTTAGTGTAAAAAGGCTATTTACTTAGACAGTTAAAAGGTATAAGAATTTTCTTTTTAATTGAGATATTTTGATAAGGTCCAATGATAAGGAATGAGGTCCAGTGAGCAGTAATAATCCCTAAATATTTCATTTTGTAGGCAGCACAAGTCCTGAATTTCACTACTTAATTGTGATTTTTTTCAATTTTGTTGATGATGTTTTTAAGCTTGAAAACTTGGTTGGTTCCTATTTTGATTATTCAGATATATTTCTGTTGAGTTCCCATTTCTGGAATAATTAAGTAGAAATGCTATTTTCCGAGTGAACACAAATCTGATGTGCACACTTCCTCACATGATATTCTGAAAACATTTGTGAGCTGATTTTCTAACCCTCTGTCTTGCATTGCTGAATCTTGTACTCACTAAAAGAATCTGCTGAATGTCTTGTCTTGCTGTACTAACTCACTGCTGTGTCATCCCAGAGTTACCTCTTGTCTGCAAAACCTTGTTCCTGGTATTTCCCACAGCTCATGTTATTAACTCACAGAAGGAGCAGATTGAATTTAGTTTGAAGATTTTGAGCTGACAAGTCATCAGGTGTCCAAGCCTTTTCTTTTTCTCTCTGTGTTTCCTAATACTGAAGGTGAAATCTAGGGCAAGGAATATTCACTGCAAGGATGTAGTATTTCCCCTTTTTCACTATCTTCAAGTTTTGTGCCACAAAGACTTTTCCTATTAAATGACATTTAATGATTTAGGTAGAAAAGCTAAGGATGGTTCAGAAAAATATTAAACTACCTATGTCCATTATAAGAATATTCTAAAGGTGACATTGTCTCATCTGACTTAAGACATTTTATTGCAGGATTCACTCTTTCTGAGCTCTCTTTTTAGTTATTGAGGGCAAGATGATCTGATTTAGACTTTCAGCAGGAAAGGAATTAATAAAGTCATAAAAATAATGTGTAAGGTGTGGACAGGAGAAAGAATAACTGCCAAAGAATCTTGTTTTCTGCAGAGGCTGCAGCATGCACTTCTGGATCACAGAATATACTGAGGGACACACAAGGATCATCAAAGTCTGACTTCTGACCTTCACTTGAACTTTTCTTAAACTCTTGTCAGGCTTGGTGCTGTTCCAGTGCCCAACCATATTGTCACATATTGCAAGAGTTCTATTGTCATTACATTGCAAGGGTTCCGTATTGCCAGAGTTTTGCACCTCCTTGATTTTTCTTATAGGCAGCTCCTCCAGGCAGTGACTCCTTCTTGTCCTCACAGCAGCCACCTGACTCCAGTTCCCCTCAGCCAACCAATGCACTCTTTTATAACACTCCTCAGATTGGCTACAGCTGTGACCTGTTAACATCAGTCCTGCTCCTAATCTGTAATGATTGGTTCAGCTGCAACTCTTTAGGGGGTAAGATTACATTCTATACCGCTTTCATTTACCTATACTGTATCCCCCTACACAACCACCCTTTAGATGAAGAATCTTTTACTGATATTTAATCTAAACGTCCCCTGACACAACTTCAGGCCATTCCCTCAGGTCCTGTCCCTGTCATCAGGAAGCAGAGATCAGTGCCTGTCCCTCCTCTTCCCCTCCCAAGGAAGCTGTAACTGCAGTGAGCTCTGCCCTCAGCCTCCTCCAGGCTGAACAGAACAAGTGACCTCAGTCACTCCTCACAGGCTTCCCCTCAGGGCCCTTCACCATCCTCATGGCCCTCCTTTGGACACTCTGCAGTAGTTTAATAGTTTTAAAAGTTAATATTGTAGCACCCAGAGCAGCCCCCAGCACAGGAGGTGAGGCTGCCCCAGAGCAGAGCAGAGCAGGACAATCCCCTCCCATGCCCAGCTGGCCATGCTGGCGCTGATGCCCCCAGGACAGGGTTGGCCCTCCTGGCTGCCAGGGCACTGCTGGCTCATGATCTACTTCAACCAGGATCCCTAGGTCCCTTCCTGTGGGGCTGCTCTTCAGCACAGGCAGTAGAGAATCCACATGTGAGGCAACCCTTTTAGAACCAACCCAATTTTTAGAAAATATACAATCAGTCAACAGCAGGCATAAATCCAGGTAAACCATGTTTAATTGGCACCTCTGAGATCATGGAAGGATTTGTTTTATTAAGGAAAGTCTGTGATTGAGATGAACTGAAAATGAAGTGTTGAAAATTAAACATCATGGTTTAAAAATGTTCTTACTCTACACTACCAGCATGTTTGAAATAGAAAAATAAATGATCTTATGATTATGACATTTTGTTTAATGCAATTTTTTTCCCTGAGTTCTTCCTGTATTCCATCTCATTTCCTGTGTAACCCAAATTACAAGTGGAGAGCTGTCTATGAGCCACCATGGTCCTGACATACTGTTGTGACCAGTGCCTGACTGTCGCAACAGTGGACATTGAACCCATCTGTCCTGGAATGTAGAGATACTGAATGGGAGCTGGGGTGTTTTTTTCTTTAAAGTGTAATTTCTCATTTTGACCCTAAAAAATAATTAATCCATTGCAGAACTCTCTCATTTGAGTATTTGTAAAGCACTCTCTGAGGTAATTTCAGAATTGTTCTCATTGATAATGTCTGAAAGGTTTATGACATGCCAGAAGACTGAAATCGCACAAATATAGTGTGCAAGAAGTGGGAAAGGGAAAAGGAAATGGGGATTATAAACCTGACACTTATCTTCAATTTCCTCTGTAATTCTGGATGGTAAGAGGCCTTTCTACAGAAATAAATTGTAGCGATGATACATCTTAGCTTCAGAAAAGCTTTTGGCATTGTTTCACCCATTTTACTTACAAGAAAAGCTGCTGAGATGTTCTTGAGGAAAGTACTATAGCATGAGTGAAAAAGAGTTTGTACAAATATACAGAGAGAGAAATTTCACGGTGGGCTTTTTTTTGTTTTGTTTTTTGTTTGGTTGGTTTTTTTGGTGGGTTTTTTGTTTATTTCTTTTTGGTTTTGCTTTGTGGGTTTTGTTTGTCTTTTTTTAATGGAAATGTAAGACATCTAGATCTTGTGCTGTTAAATTCTTCTATTAATCACTTCAATTACTGTTGTTTCAGACTACCTGAAACCAGGAGATAATGAAATTATTTTGAAGTACAGATTAGAATTCAACGAGTCTTGAGATTGAAGATATGATAAAAAAATAAGACAAATCTCTTCAAGACAACACAAGGTACTGTAAATTGATGGGAAAAACTAACTACAGATATGGATCTGTAAAGTGATACAATTGCACTGTCTGTTTGTCTTGGTATGGAAAGACAGGAGTCTGCTAATGAAGGCAGGAGCCTCCCCTGAAATGGAGAATGTAAACCCTCCCCAACCCTCCGAATTGCTATAAATTTTAAATTAAGGAGCTCTCAGGCAAAAATATGGGAGCAGGAAATAACAGTTCTTTAATAGGGAAGGGAAAAAATTAAAAGGATAAAATAAACAATGCAGCACACTAGAACAACACTGACAGAGTCAGAACCCAACCTGACACCCTGTGGGGTGTTGGTGGCAGTCCAATTGAAAATGTGGCTGCAGTCCTCCTGAAGTGTCAGGTGTGGTTGTGTTGGAGCAAGGGGGTTCTGTAGAGAAGGATGTATTCTTCCTCTGAAGACCCAGTGGAAGAAGAGGCAGCTGCTGTTCCTCTGGGGAATGCCGTGGAGAAAGATGTGCTGGTGTCTCAAAAACCTCAGGATTATATCTGGGTAGCAATGCTTGGCTCCTCCCTCTGGGCAGAGCATCTCACAATGGGATGTTATAGTTCTTATCAGTCATGCAGTGACATTCATCATCTGTTATCAGCAGATGTCCCCTTCTGAGGGAGGTGTGAGTGTGGTCACTCAAAGACAGAGATAAGGCAAACTGCCCACTTGTCAAGGATAATTTGCCATACAGATGGTAATTGAAAACATCTTGCATTGCAATCTGGAACACTGTTACTCAACAGCCTTTCCCAGGAGTGGTTATCTTCTAGGTAGGAATGGACTTCAGGAAAGAAGAACAGGAGGTGGTTAAGGCAATATGATATGTACAGGAATGACTGATGACTGAGGCTGTGAAGGGGGATGCAGTTACTGCCCACAGTTACAGTTTTGTTGTAAAGAAGGGGAGGTTACCTTTTCTACAGATTGAGGGTAGATAAGAAGTAACCTGTTTGAGTTGCAGCAAGAAAAAAAAAATCAGTTTACACATTTAGAAAAAATATTTGGAATACTGGAACTGTAATGTAATGCTGGAATAAATCTCCTGGGAACTTTGGAGATTTCCTGCCACTAAATAACTAAAACAAAAGAAAACATTTGAGAGTTGTCAGCTTAGATAAGTTTTCAGGTCCATTTTTGCACCATTTTATCTAAAGTCTGTAAATTTGGTGGATTGTGTTTTCTGTGGGAAGCAAAACTTGAAGATTTGCTGAGTGTGTGTGAATTGCTTGGCTTCATTACTGACTGAATAAAACTTTCAGCTCTGGCCAATTTTCACTCCTTATTTCCATAGAAAAGACTAGGTAGCAATAGCTGTGGATATGTGCTTTCTTGAAAAATGCTTGATCCTTTTTTACAATCTATTGTTTTTATGAGTAATATCGAGAAAAATAAAGAGTGGTAGGAAAATCCCATATGACAATTCCTAATTGAAACATATTTCCTCATCCAAGCCAATAATTTACATTAATTGAATAGCAAGCTGGGTTTTAAAAATGCTCATTTGTTGCTTACAAGGTAACAGGTGGTTGATTTGTTACCAGATGTTTTTAGCACTTTAAATTTTAGGATCATTGCTTATATCCTGCTATTTTCCCTAATACAGTATTTTTATCAGCTTCTTGTAGGCTGAAAATAACCTATGGTTCAATATTATTTTCAGTGAAAGTGAATGTTTCTCTCAGTATTTTTTTGACCTAAGAATATTTTTGCTGCTTCACTAGCACAGGGAGTAAATAAAATGAAATAGGGAGAATACAGGATGAAAGAAATACAGCTAAAAGTTTTTGAAAAAATAAATTATATATGGCACATATTTTGTGCAATAAGCAGGATCTACCTATTAATAAGTCAAAGCACATTTCTTTAAGATATTTCATAAGTGCTCATTTGCTCACTGATAAAACATTATTAGCCCTTCATGCTGATCCTCAGCAGTCCCACAGACCTTGGTTCCAGTATAAGATCCTGCTCTTATCCATTGCACCTGAGATGATGAATAACAGCTATTTTTACACCTATTTGAATTTAATATAGTTTACAAAAGAATGTTGGTGGGGGGGGGGTTGATTTTGTGTATGTGTGTTATAAAGAAAAAACTGGGATTTTTTTTAGTATGTTTTTATTTTTCCTATGGGTCTGTAATGAAGAAAGATGTTGATCCACCTTGGATGAAGACTTGCAGTCCTGATTGTCTTCTATGCCTTTACTTATTCTTAAGATGTTGATAAATCTTTTCTAGATGGTGATTAGATGTTTTCTTGTCTATCTCTGAATGGCACAGCTGCTCAGCACCTCATCACATGTAAGGTAATCCAGCATTATGTAAGGCAGACAACTTGAGTTTTATCATGAAATTGAATGTTTTGAAGATTTAGACCAAAACCAAGGAAAATTTTTACTTTTATCTACTTATTTTTAATTTAATAATTTACATTAGATTTCTGTGCATTTTTATTAGTATTTCTTGCATATATGCTGGTGCCTTTCTGGAACCTGACACCTGTTAAGAGATTTTTTGAACTTCTGATATTTGTAAAGGAGAAAGCTCTCGAGATTTATTCTATAGCTTGAGATATGGAATTTTCATTGCCTTGCATTCATTCAATTATGCACCTTTAAAAATTGGCCTGTCCATCCTCAGTTGCATTTTCCAGAAAAGGTTTAGCAGTTTAATGGAGCAATAATGAAGAAAGACAACATTTGTAGGCCTGAAACAGACCACTCCAAAAGCAGGAGTAACAAAATTTATTGCACTGGAACTTTGTCAGAACAGTTGTCATGGGATTGAGGTTTGAGTGGACATAGGGAAAACAAGATTGAATCTGTTCCTGAAGTTCATGTACAGCTCCAGCTTCTCTTACAGGAATTCTCCATCATTCTCTGGGAATGATGTTCTTCATCACAGCAGAAACTCCTTGAAACTGGGTTGGGTTCTCTTATTTATACCTGGAACCAGAACCACATCCTCTCTTTAAGTCAAGAACCTCCTGGCCACAGATGGAAGACTTGTAAATTGTAAAGACAGGTAGTCAAAAATTAGAAAATGAACATATCTATTTGGCCCTTTACCCGT